AGCCATAAGAGGCTTTTTATAGGATGGGAACATCTGCATCTGAAATGGGTGTTGAAGGATGATCAAGACGTTGTTAAATCCAGATGGAGGAAAAGGCATTCCAGACAAACAGATAACACAAGCTATGGGGTAAATGGTCTTTAAATAGAGCATGGTAAGCTAGTACTGCACAAATGTTAGTTGAATGAGGGACAAATATATGAAATGTTCAAGGAAAGATGAGAGGGTGACTGGGCTAGATTATAGGATTAGAGCAGGCGGGAGGAAGGCCACCAGAAAAAGAGGCAAGAAGGGCCCAGGTCAAAACCACACACAAACTGCAGCCTAAGGAGTTCAGGCTCTGAAACGAAGGAGGAAGGAAGAACAATGAATTCTCCTATGTTTCCTCTATATCTGCTCTATATTTTTAAAAGCCCATCCTGGACACTCTGTGGATGATAAGCTGTACAAAAAACTTGAAGGGCTGAATAGGGTCAAAAATTAAGCTGGGTATTTAGTAGGCAGGGACACATCTGATCAATTTACAATTTTTGTCTATAAGATCTTAAACTCCAAAATGGACTAATTTAGAACCAATTTATTATATAAAAACAGCATCTAAACAAAAGTTAGCTAATTTATACTTATGAAGAAATGGGGAAAATGAAACAAAATATATACAGATAACAGTAGCAAGGACACAAAGCTGTATTCGTTCACATCAATGAATTCAAATGGTTTCAAACTTGAAATTTAAGAATTTTATTCAAATATACTAAAAATAAATACGTAAAATATAATACATATGGTCCAAGCAACACAAAAATCTTTAAAAATCGGTTGCTGTATGTAAAGAATCTCCCCTGGATGTAAAAGAAAAAGAAGCTGTACATCTCCACACCCCCATGTGGGAGTTTCTGAAATAGATTTAGGGGCTTAAAATAAAACTTCAATCAAGAATTTAATGCCAGGGTTGCTTAATGTGTGCACTCCCGAGTCAGGTGAAAATCTGCTCTTATTCGAACTATAAATTAGATGTTTAATTTTTAAATACTAAGACAGGTTAAAATAGCATTTTATATATATATATAAAAAATCCCTAGAATTATGTAATTACAACTACCACAAAAAAATTATACGCTAAAGTTTATTAACCATAATAAACTTTGGTCTTCCCTTTCCAAAAGTCTTGAAGAATTTGACTTGTGGCAGATTTGGTTTGCATACTTAAAGTACAAACCTCTGTATTTCCGAAGTATCTCTCTTCCTAAGTATACTAAGTTTCTTTAAAATGAACTCTTCTAGAATATAAACCCATCAATCAACAGATGAAAAAGTGCTAACCTCCCAAATAAGGAAAGGCATGCAAAATCAAAGACAATGAAAAGTACTTCCACCTATTAAATTAAAAATTATAATTGGAAATGATGGCAAAAATGTGATGAGATCAGCTTCTAAAAAGTAATCTGGTAACATTTACCAAGAGTCTCCAGAGCTGTAAGTCTACTTACAGGAACCTACTGCAAGGAAGTAATTAGATGTGTGATCAGAGACTAAACCTCTCAGCAACAACAACAAAACGGAAAATACCTTAAGGTGCCTAGCAGGAGAGAGGTTAAAAAAAATTAATATTTCGGGCCGAGCCCATGGCGCACTCGGGAGAGTGCGGCGCTGGGAGTGCAGCAGCGCTCCTGCCGCGGGTTCAGATCCTATATAGGGATGGCCTGTGCGCTCACAGCGCTCACTGGCTGAGCACGGTATGGCCGGTCTCAAAAAGGACAAAAAAAAAAAAAATTAATATTTCGGGTCGAGCCCATGGCGCACTCGGGAGAGTGCGGCGCTGGGAGTGCAGCAGCGCTCCTGCCGCGGGTTCAGATCCTATATAGGGATGGCCTGTGCGCTCACAGCGCTCACTGGCTGAGCACGGTATGGCCGGTCTCAAAAAGGACAAAAAAAAAAAAAAATTAATATTTCTACATTAAGAAATGTTATAAAGCCAAAAACTCATCTTTTACAAAACTTATTTAATAAAAATGAAAAAGTGCTCACAACAGAATATTCAATAGAAAAAAAAAATATTCAATGATACTGAATTTGAAAAAAAATGTTTCCTATTTTTTATAGCATATACAGAGATATAGTACATATAAAATGCTGATTACCATAAATACTAAGATAGCAGTATTTATATTTGGTTGGTACATTACATAAATTTTTGGTTTTTTTTCTTTAGACTTCCCAGTATTTTTCCTTTTTAAAAGTAATGGTTGGGTCTTCTATAAGTAGCAAAAAAAATCCATGACTGGAAAAAAACATTTCTAGGACTGAAAAGCTAGGTGGCATCAGTAATACAAATGGAAACACACACACTTGGCCGGACACTCGCCATGGGCACATGCTGTCTGGGATCCAAACAGCACAAAGCTCACTGACAGCTTATAATGAGGCTTATTTTAAAGGAGGAACCTTGTAGGGAAAGATGATTTGAATACCCTGATCTTATTAATTAATTACCATTCAATATTGTTTTATAAAGGCCAAAATGATATATACATATTAATCAGCCAGCTCCATATCCTGTTTTCATTTCTTTGGTGTATTTTCATGAGAACAATTTTATTCTTTAAGATGTATCGTACCTGACCAGAAAGCATTCTGGATTTAAAATGAAAAAGCTTGCTTTTGAGTCCTGCCTTGCTCTACTCCTTACAGACAGGTCTAGTCCTAACCTCTCTGAACATCTTTCCCTATGAAGAAAATGGGGCTAATAACACCATCTTTTATTACTTCTCAGGGTTATTTGTGTCACATAAAATTGTATATATAAAATCATTCTAGCTTTAAATGTCACTGATCATTAAATTTTAATAAACTCCTAAAAAGCATGGTTATTTGTGTAATAAATACACAAATAAATAAACAGAGGGAATGAAAAACCACATTTTCATGCTTCTTCTACTGGCAGAAGTACCAATAAAAAGGCAGGAGGAAATACACCTGGAAGAAACCCTTGGTCAACCACCAGACCACACCAGAAGGATGTTTGAGAGAACACCTAGTGTGCAGTGATACTGTGTGAGATGCACTATGATGTACCGTTATCTCAAAGAGCAAAAAGAGAGGGAGAATGGGTAAGCTCTCCATTGTGACCTCTGTGCCATGTGATTTTTCTGGGATCTATGCCTCTAGAGTTATCTGTCATTTGAAAAGGGAACTATGAAAAATAATGGCAATTAGCAGCCTTTTTCCTTTAATGTCAAGAGCAAAAAGAGAGGGAGAATGGGTAAGCTCTCCATTGTGACCTCTGTGCCATGTGATTTTTCTGGGATCTATGCCTCTAGAGTTACCTGTCATTTGAAAAGGGAACTATGAAAAATAATGGCAATTAGCAGCCTTTTTCCTTTAATGTAAGAAATAAATTTTATTTGGTTGGCATCATGAAATTAATGGATTCCCACATGAAAAACAGTATCGGCACAAGTACTACAATCTAAATCTAGTTGACTGTCTATTAATTTCAAACACAGCTGAATAATTTCAAAATATTCAAAAACAGTCAGTCAAAAAATAAAATCCAAATTCTAAGTGGGAAAAGAGCCCACCATTTATTGTAATTTGCACCCCCAGATCCTACATATTATCTGGTCTCAAAATGATCTGAACAAAGACTAGAGTAAGAATATAAAAAAACATTTTCTCATGTCATTTCATTTTCCTTCTTAATGAGATGAACTAAAGAAACAGATATTTATTACTTCACAAAAACTGAGGGGAAAAAGAACTTATTGCTTCTCTTACATGCAATTACTAATCATTTCATTTATTTTTTAAATGATAAATAAAATTTCTCCAATACATACATTCATGTCATTATCACTACTGTATAAAAACAAAGTGCCTACTTTCTACAAATAGCAACTTTTTACTGAAAGACAGCACCTTGTAATTCTCAACACAAAAGTTTCTGGAAATAAACTAGACATTTGGGCCTAAAGCCTTAAGTCACAACATTTCTCATCAGGATGATTAATCTTTACAAAAAGGCAGGAAAACAAGACATAGTCACCCACTTTGACATTTTCATTCTTTGAAGAAAAAAAAATTCCAATCTAGTTCATGAACTGGAACCATCGTTTGTAAAAAGTATGCAATCCTTCAAGAGTATACTTTGATTATAAGATTAAGAAGATCATTATCTCTCTTATTCTTTGCATTGAGAAAACTATACTGACATTAAAAAGTCGTGCTAGCATAGTTTTACTTAGAAATCTGATAAACCTTTGCCCAAGAACCAGCCAACCTTTAATAACAAGGTTGCTTCATTTTTTCCTTTTCTGCTTAGTTGGAAAAAATATAAACAACAAAGTATAACATTAAAAAAAAACACACCCCATCCATTGATTTATACAGTATTCATTTCTGTGCAACCTTTCTATATCCAGTGATTGGAGAGTGGGAGTGTGTGTTTTTCTGGCAAGAGTTCCAGCACCCTGAGGCTGCTGTGAGCGTGCACGCGTGCTCAGGCACGTGGCGTGTGCCTGAGGAACAGAGTAAAAGCATCACCGTGGTCATGTGGAAAGAGAGAGAGGAAGGAGAGGTGTGAACAGGCAGGAAGAGGTTTTGCTGCAGGCTCAGGGAGCTTGCTGCTGGTTGTACTTAAAAGCTTTAACCTAAAAAAGTCAGGTCTGAGATGTTTCTTAAAGATGTGGGTTTGATGCCTTTCTCTCATTTTCTTGCCTCACTTTTGAACAGCTTAAGTGGGGAGTAAACCAGTCCTAACCTCGAGAAAGCCTTGCTCTAGGGAAAAGTCAGAATTAAATCAATGACTCAGATGAGATATGAGATGGAGGGAGTCATTCAAAGACAGATTGGGGCGAAGGCAGGGAGGGGATGTGGGCATGGGCAGGGCAAGTAGAGGGACAAGCACAGGAAAGCAAAGGGAGCCTGGCTCTGAGCAAATGGTCTGGAAACTAAGCTGGCAAAACAACCAATGTGCCCATCTGACATTAATTCAGTTACCTGTGTTATTTTTTCTATTCCCTGGAAGTTGTGCTTTTCAAAATGTTCTGCTATATTTAGGAAGGTATGACGTTCTAGATAGCAGCAATTACTGAGGACTATCAGAAGTCGCTGTTCCTAAAAATAAAACAAAGTTTTAGAGAACTACATTTATAGTAACAAACTGAGAATATACTAAATAACACTCATCATTTATTAAGTTTAATTATAATCTCTTGCTCTTTAACATCAATATCCAATCCTTTGCTTTTCTTGGCTGCTTCTTTACCAATATTAACATAGAGAAAAACATAATGCAATTATAAAATTCTACTAATTGTTCATTACTACATAATAACTACAGCATCAAATGTTTCTTATAAACTTTCACAGCTGTATTGAAAAACAGATTGATAAAACAGTTTACTAAAGCGAGATCAGCTGTTCTTCTTGTGAAAGGGATTCTACTTTATTGTTTATTCTACTTAACACTTTGTATACACAAAAAGGCTATACAAATGGATATTTTTAATAACTAATTACATAAAAGTGTAAAAATAATTAGAAAACAGTTTATAAATTTTTCATTACTTGGAAGAGAATTATACTGCCATACACCTGTATGATGAGCTCCTCTAAAAACTTAGACCTTTGGGAACTTTTTGTGTATGCAGGAGGATGACTAGGAATAGCTTCCCACTAAAGGGAGTGAAGGTCACTGTGGCCAGGGGCCTCCTCCAGAGAGAAAGGGCAGAACCCCACCTGCTTCTACATTCTCTAGGGTTCTATCCACCAAAAGTAATTTCTTACAAAAATAACCAAACCCAAATGCAGATGAGCACAATATCCTCTTACAATTCAGAAGAACTATTTTTGTAAATGAATTCCAGGAGCAGCCCCTGTCACTGCTGTGCTGGCCTGCCAAGATAGGGAAGTGTACCTGCAGGGGTGGGTGTGTGCCCTGCAGCAGCTGTGACTCCTCTGGGCCCCGGCTTGTGACCCCTTGCCTAAAACGAAGGCAAAAACCACTTCCCAGGAAAAGTTTTCACCCACACTTTGCTTACTCTTTCTGTACATAATCTGAACAGGTTACAGTAAAGTAATGCAATTTAGCAAATGTGGAGAAAGGTTCCTGGTTTTCGAGGTACATGAATCAAAGACGGACGACAACAGTCCCTGGACTCTGCTGCCAAGCATATCTTATATCTCCCAATGATTTCATTTAGCTCAATCGAATTTCGAAAAACATTCTCAGTTGCTTTATTTAAAATGTTCCTATCTTTATTTCTGGAAGAGTGTAGCCTATTCACTGCAGTTTTTGTTTACCAACAAATACAAGTAAAAGGCCGAGGAACTGTTACGGTACCTTCAAGTAAATGAAAGCTTGTTAATGACCCTGAATTAATCTGTGGATGGGATATAAGGTACAAAAAAGGTAAAAAGGGTTATATCATATGTAATATTCTTTCTCCATATTTTGTGGATAAGTGACAAGAAAAAACCTAGAAAGAAAGCAAAGAACAAGCACTGGAAGCTTGCCCAGGCACGGCCGAAGGGTGTGGCTACAGTCCCCTCTTGCCCCCACACCTGGTGTTACCACTCACCAGCCCGCATGAAGCACATACAGTCAAGGAAAGAGGATGTTTCATCAACCACACTGAACATGCAGTGTTCCTTACAAATCTCAACTGGTTCTCAGTTTTAAAGTCAATCCTAGTCACTTTTCCCTTCAAGAGTAAAACCTCCTCATCCACAGACATGAGCCTGCTGCGTCTTCTCTGCCCTTTGCTTGACTTTTCCCATTGTACTATGCATGGTCCTTCTTCAAAAATAGAAAAACTATTTGAGTGATTTAAAGTCTTACTCTTGGTAGGTGTATTTTTCTCAAATCTAACCAATAGACAAAATAAAAATGGGATGAACCACTGAACACCACTATCAAATCCTTAGACTTGGATGACTGATCAAAAGCTTAATAAGAACTCAGATGGAGATGCATATTTGAAACTAACAACTCGAAAAAAGCTGCCACTTCTGGGGTGACTCCGGCTGCTAGGTCAGCTGGATGGAACAACTAGTACTTTTCTTAGTGTTCTCATCTACTGCCAGGTCTTATAGTGCTTATAATTCACACATCTGTATCTAGATTTTTCTCCGGGGATCCAGATCTCATCACCGATAGATATCTCTACCTGAATGTTACCCATTCAACAAATCTGGTCCCAAACTCTATTTTTAATCTTTTTTTAGGACTTGTTTTCTTCCTGAATTCTCTGTCTCAGTGAATGGTACCATTCTGCACTTAGTCATCCAAATAATTGAACCCTGAATAAATTTTTAAACTACTTTGACTAAATTATACTTTTTTAATATACCAAGTCCCCTATTTAGTTATACTTATAACTGTAAAAATGAGGGCCGATCCCGTGGCGCACTCAGGAGAGTGCGGCGCGGGGAGTGCAGCAGCGCTCCTGCCACGGGTTCGGATCCTATATAGGAGTGGCCGGTGCGCTCACTGGCTGAGTGCGGTGCGAACGACGCCAAGCCAAGGGTTCCGATCCCCTTACTGGTCACAAAAAACCACAAAAAGAAAAATAAATAAATAAAAAAATAAAAATGACATAGGGTAAGAAAGCCAAGTCATGTTTTTTCTTGAGATATATACACACCCCCATCCATCCTTCAAACTCATGACAAACCAGACAGGGTTATTTTCTTTAAGAAAGCTGAGGTTATACATGTGATAATGTATGAATGTGAACCCTTCCTAAATACACATGTATGTTAAAATAAATGTGTGTGTGTGTGTACGTATTTGGTTTTGTCTTTGCTATGAAAACTGTGTTTAAATAAAATGTTATTAGGGAACTTAGAGAATAAAACAGGAAAGCAGAGCTTCTCTGGTTGAAGAGGCAAAAGCTGTCAGGGAGGTGGGTGCCCTAGTCCTATGCCTCCTCCATAGCTGGTCACAGCAACTTCTGAGCACCAGGAGATGACTAGGGCACGCATTTAACACTCGGGAACTGCACAGATGCAGAGAGTATGTGCAACTATTTAAGCTGCAACTCAACTAAAAGCAGGTTTTAAGCGTGGAATATATATAAATTATACTTTACTAAAATTTTCACACAACATAACATGGCCCCAAAGTACAGAGCAGTGTTTTACAGTACATGCTATAGCAATGATGCAGTAACATTTAAAGTAACTTAGATTAATTTATAAAAATTTATAGTCATTACAGAGTTTTAAAGCGACTTGTTTTACTTACTATTTATCATCTATCTTACTTACAGAGGTCAAGCTGAAGTCTTCATGGATACTTCCAAACAAATCAGGAGAAGAAACGTCAACAGAAAGACTAAATATAGACGCAAGTAAGAGAACAGTTAGAGCTAAAGCACTAAAATTTAAAAGCGCAATGAAATTTGACTTTAAAATGTTTTGGTTAAAAAAAAATCAAAAATTCCGTATAAGTTTTTTTATATTTAGCAAATAACAGCTCCAAGAAGGCACTATAAACTATTAACATGGGCCGTACAAAATTTGCTTTTGGGTCTTCCCAATACTGACTTAATTAAATTTTTTTTAAAAACTACCAGGGGAGAAAATGTCAAGTAATTCTAATCATACTATTATTAGTATATACTCACACAATTAAAACGTTCTTGTCTATAAGAATCTCCAGAGAGCTTTTTGAAGCATTTTCTTAGTAAACCACTTAGTGGTGAGTTGATTTGGGATATTAGTTGATAACCCACAAGTGACCAGAAACATAAAATTGGGGGGAGGGGAGGAGAGATCATAAATTAACTGGTTAATTTATAGATATAACAGAATCATAATAAAAATCTCAGTAGGATTTATCTTCTTTAAAGTTGACTAACCAATTTTAGAATTCATATGAAAGAATAAAATTATAAAAATATTAAATCATATTTCAAAAGAGAGAGGTAATAAAAGGATACCAATCTGAAAAACATTAGAACATAAACTAATGATGATTAAAACACCAACTGATATAAAATATATTTGAATGAATGGAACAGAAGATAAAATTCAGAAACACATTGCACTATATATTAAAATCCAATGATGGATGAAACAAATTATAACAAAATGCTGAAAAGACATTTAATCAATAACATCAGGGATATGATTAACAATACAAATTCCTGGTAGAATAATGAGCTAAACAAATTAAATCAAAGAAAATGGAGAAGAATTAAAAACTTATTAGGTCTAGTTTTATATACTAAAAAGCAAAAACCAATACCAGGAAATAGACAAACATGGAAAATTTCTCAAATTGTCAATTAAAGATTTAAGAGGAATTTATTTCAGTATTATCTGTGTCAGAGCATGAATCTTAGATGCACAGAAGTTACACATGCCAAGTATCATTCAAAAAGCTAGATTTTTTTTTAAAACGGCATTTTATAATGCTGTCACATAGACTAACATTATAAAAAAGTTATCACACGGATTTGTAATATCAATAGTAAGCACCTGTCTTCTGGAGCTCAAATAACTAAGCCTGACACATGGCATTTTATAATGCTGTCACATAGACTAACATTATAAAAAAGTTATCACATGGATTTGTAATATCAATAGTAAGCACCTGTCTTCTGGAGCTCAAATAACTAAGCCTGACACAGACTTAATTCTACCAACATGCAGTGCAACCCCCCTAACACCAGAATCGTGAAAGTAATCAACTTTTTACTTTATTATTTATAAAACTTGTTCTTTTGGACAATTAGTAAGCTAATTAGATGTTCAATTTGGTCAATTTGTCTCTAATAAGGCTAAGATGCGTTCAGAAAATAAATAAATTATGGAAAGAATATAGGCTGATGGAGTTTGGATGTCTTATCCCGTCCAAAACTCATGTGGGAATTTGATCTCCAATGTGGCAGTATCAAGAAGGAGAAAAAGGCCCTGAAGGCATTGCAGAAGCCTCTGGGGCCAACCCTTCCATTTCAGGCCCAAAGGCCAAGGGAGAGAGAATGGTCTTGGCAAACAGGCCCAAGTCACCCTCCATGGGCTTGCTGCCCAGGGCCACCTGGAGAAGCTGCTTCCAGCACCAGCACCCCAGCTGCTTTGGCTGCTCCAGCTGTGGCTAAATTGGCCCCAGGTGTGGCTGGACCTGCAGCTTTGGAAAATACAAGCTGGAAGTCTTGGCAGCGTCAACATGGTGTTAGGTCTGCAGGCTCATAGAATGCCAGAGCTGGGAAGGCTTGGGAGCCTCCACCCAGATTTCAAAGGATGTATGGAAAAGTCTGGGGGCCCAGGAAGGGATCTGTTGCAGGGGTGGAGTCACCGCAGACAGCCTTCGCTAGAGCAATGCCGATCAGAAATGTAAGGTCAGAGTTTCAGCAGAGAAACCCCAAAAGTGCCATGCCTAGTGGAGCCATGAGAGCAGGACCTCCATGGAGACCCCAGACTTAAGGAGCTACCAGAGTGGAACACCGGCTTGGAAAAGTTGCAGGCACCATTGCAGCCCACTGGGCTGCACCTGGCAGAGCTGTGGGAATGAGGCTGCCTGATGCTTTGGGGGCCCAGATGCTCAATTGTGCCCAGGATGCAGGACTTGAAGTCAAAGAACATTATTTTGGAGCTTTAAGACATAATGTCTGCCTTGCTGGGTTTCGGACTTGTTTGGGGCCTGTTTTTCCTTTCTTTTGGCCTTTTCCTCCCTTTTGGTATGGGAATGTGTACCCAATGACTGTTCCACCATTGAATCTTGGCAGTAGATAAATTTGATTTTGTTTTTCAGGTTCGCAGCTGGAAGGACTTTTGCTTTTGGTCTCAGATGAGACTTTGGACTTTGAACTTTTAAGTTGGTGCTGGAGCAAGCTAAGACTTTTGGGACCTTTTGGATAGAATGATTGTATTTTGTATGTGAGAGTGACATGAGTTTTGGGGGTCCAGGGGCGGAATGCTGGAGTTTGGATGTGTTGTCCCCTCCAAAACTCATGTGGAAATTTGATCTCCAGTGTGGCAGTGTTGGAAACTGATTGAGTCATGGGGTGGATCCCTCATGAATGGATTAATGCTCTCTCTGGGGGAGGGGGGATTAATGAGTGAGTTCTCGCTCTATTAGTTCCCATGAGAGCTTGTTGCTTAAAAAGACCTTGGCACCTCCTCTCTCTCTCTTGCTTCCTCTCCCACCATGTGATCTTCTTGTACCTGCCACCTTTCTGCCATGAGTAGAAGCAGCCTGAAGCCCATGCCAGATGCAGCTGTCCCAGAATCGTAAGCCAAATAAACCTCTTTTCCTTATAAATTACCCAGTCTCAGGTATTTCTGTTATAGCAACAAAAATGGACTAAAACATAGGCCATATTTAAAACTGTAACTGTAATGTGAAAAACTGGTCTCTCTTACTAAAGGACTTAGGATATATGAGAGGACTTCAAAAAGTTTGTGAAAAATGGAATCAGAAGCTGAAAATAAAAAACATAAACGTTATTTCTCAATATTAGCTCCATTAAGTTCAAGTGGTGATACCAGCCATTCAGTCCACCCCTAAAGAACTGAGGGTCCTGGGAATTTAGTCACATCAATGCAGTCTTTTTTACTTTTTTTTTTTTTTTTTTTTTTTTTCCTCCCATCAAATCTCTCACAAGATTGCCCTTGTTTGGTGAGAGGAATGAGCAGGAGCACTGTCGTGGTGGAGAAGGACTCTGGGGAAGCTTTTCCAGGTATTTTCCTGCTAAGCTTTGGCTAACTTTCTCAAAACACTCTCATGATATATGTAGATGCTATCCTTCTTTGACCCTCCAGAAAGTCAACAGGCAATATGCCTTGAGCATCCCAAAAAACTGTTGCCACGACCTTTGCTCTTGACCACTTTTGCTTTGACTGGATCACTTCCGCCTCTTAGTAGCCATTGCTTTGATTTTGATTTGTCTTCAGGATTGTACTGGTAAAGCCATGTTTCATCTTCTGTTACAGTTCTTCAAAGGAACACTTCACAATCTTGACCCCACTTGTTCAAAATCTACATTGAAAGTTCTGCTTTTGTCTGCAGCTGATCTGGGCACGACAGTTTTGGCACTCAGTGATCAGAAAGTTTGCTCAACTGTAATCTTTCAGTCAGAATTGTGTAAACTGCACCAGCTGAGATGCCTGTGGTGCTGGTCATTGTTTCTGCTGTGAATCATCAGTCCTCTTCAATTAGGGCATAAACAAGATTAACTTTTTCCTTGATAATTGATGTGGATAGTCAGCTGCTGCAGGCTTCATCTTCAATGTTGTCTCGTCCCTTCTTAAAATGAGTTATCCATTTATAAACTGATTTCCTTGGGACATTGTCCCCATAAAGTTGTTGTAAAGCATCAATGATTTCACCCAAGCTTTACCACAGATTTGATGTTCTCGCTTCAATTTTAATAGAATTCATGTTGCTCTGATAGTAGCTCTTTTCATACTGATGGCTTCTCCTTCTTTATGCCTCAAACTAGATCTTATTCAGACATGCTATAACAAGTCAGTACAAGTTTATTTCGGTGCAAAAAATTTTTGAAATCCATGCATACTTCTTTCATAATACACATTTTCCATGATCTTTCTGAAGATCCCTTGTAAGACCAAATATATAACTTGAGTCTATATTTTTAATTCTCCTAAATGCATCAATGAGATTAATTTCATTTTTACTTACTGTGTGGTATCTACATCTGCATCAGGCTTGGTGCTCAATTGTTCCAGACAGTATATAAAAACCTATGTCAAAAATATTAAGTTTTAGTGATATGAACGTTCAGATATTAATCTATTTGGACATTAAAAATAATTTTACATAAATTAAAGTAGAACTATATATCCCATAAGTGGTGGTGGTGGTGGTGGTGGAGTGTGTCTGTGTGTGTGTATTACACATGTGTATCCCATAACTGATAGAAAATACATATACTATCAATATA